AGCCCAGTCCTAAGTTTCCACGACCTTCTGGACTTCCATTGCCCAGCTAAATCCAGTTGCATACTGGCTGCAAGAGACTGCGCTTGCTCGAGTACTGAAATTGAGAGGCTGGGGTGGAGTCGGCTCAGGTGGCAAAGTTGTTGCCACACAAGCACAAGAACCCGGATCTGATCCACAGCTCCCTGGTAAAAAGCCAGACTCGGTAGTGCTGGGGAGGCAGAGGCAGGAGGATTGCGAGGCCTGCTGGCCAGCCAGTGCAGCTGAGTCGGTGCGCTCTGGGTTCAGGGAGAGAGCCTGTGGAGAAGCATGGAGGAAGTCACCCAGTGTGGACAGAGCTCTGGCCTCCATGCCCACCACATGCATGCATACACAGACTGAGATTGTTCCTTTTGAGCTGTATCATTCCTTTATAGATAGTTTGAAATGTGGAAGCTCAACAGACAGAGCTGGCTCATTTTTCTCAGTGTGGTCAAGCAAATTGGTGTTACGTTTCACCTCTGGACCCAAACCTTCCTGCAGACATCCGCTGTGCGGCCCTCCTGTGCAGCTGGATCACTGTACAGTTTCCTGTAGACATCCTGTGCAGCTGGATCACTGTACAGTTTCCTGCAGACATCCACTGTGCAGCCCTGCTGTGCAGCTGGATCACTGTACAGTTTCCTGTAGACATCCACTGTGCAGCCCTGCTGTGCAGCTGGATCACTGTACAGTTTCCTGTAGACATCCACTGTGCGGCCCTGCTGTGCAGCTGGATCACTGTACAGTTTCCTGTAGACATCCTGTGCAGCTGGATCACTGTACAGTTTCCTGTAGACATCCACTGTGCAGCCCTGCTGTGCAGCTGGATCACTGTACAGTTTCCTGTAGACATCCTGTGCAGCTGGATCACTGTACAGTTTCCTGCATGCCTTTTTTTCCAACATGCATTTTTAAATGTTTTGAATTTAAACTTTCACATGTGGACCAGGAGGATGGCTCAGTGGATAAATTGCCTGCCTGCAGGCATGAGGATCTGAATTCAGATCCCAGCACCCACCCAAACAGGGACAGCAGTAGAGTCCTGTAACCCCAGCTCTGGTAGGGCAGAGGTAGGTGGATCCTGGACTCACTGGCCAGCCAGGCTAGTAAAATGGCAAGCTTCAGGTTCAGTGAGAGATTCCATCTAAAAAAATAATAATAATGCGGGGCTGGCGAGATGGCTCAGAGGCTACAGTTCTTACTGCTCTTCCAATGGACACAAGTTGGACTGTTGGATTCCCACATGGCTGCTCAAAGCCATCCAGTCCCAGGAGAACAGACACCCTCTTTCTGGCCTCCAGGGTCACCCACTGCATGCATGTGGTGAACAGACATATATACAGGCAAAATGCCCATACACATACATGAATGAATGAATGAATGAATGAATGAACGAACGAACGAATGATAGTGAGGCAGCTGGGTAGTGGTGGCTCACACCTCTAATCCCAGCACTTGGAAGGCAAAGGCAGGCAGATCTCAGAGTTCAAGGCCAGCCTGGTCTACAGAGTGAGTTCCAGGACAGTCAGGACTACACAGAGAAACCCTGTCTTGGGGGAGAAAAAAAGTGAGGCAATTTAGGGAAAAAAAAAACTTGATTTCAACCTCTGACCTCCATGTATGCCTACATGGGCAAGTGCAACACACACACACACACACACACACACACACACACACACGAGTAAACTCACACCTGGGCTTTTCTCTTTACAGGTCCATCGGCTGGTGGTAGTGAATGATGCAGATAGTATTGTGGGTATTATCTCCCTGTCAGACATCCTGCAAGCCCTGATCCTCACACCAGCAGGTAAAAATGCAGATTTCAGGCCAGCACAGTATCACATGAATTTGATCCTGGCACCCAGGAGGCAGAGACAGGAAGTTCTCTGTGAGCCTGAGACCAGCTGGTCTACCTAGTGAGCTCCAGGACAACTAGGGTTACATAAAAAGACTCTGTCTCAAAAGGATAGACAGGTAGGTTGATTGATTGATTGATTTCTATCCAAGATTTCCAGGACGGGCGCTGAAGACACCCGGCCCCCACCTCCCACACAGCAGGGCATTGTGTGTGCTGCTCTGCAGATCTTTTTGCCTTTCCTTTTCGTTTTTGAAGTTCTAATGTTCTGCTCGGGTAAGCAAAGTTTCTAGAAAGCACACACAGGGCAGGGGTAGAAGGCACAGGCACAGAGCTGGCCGTGTGTTTGTGGTGAGTGGTGGCCTGATGAGGCCTTAAAACCCTGCCACATCGCTGCCTTCACGTTCTCTTTCCACCCCCTCCCCCACCTCTCCAGCCCCAGCATAGAAACCAGCTAGCTTTTTCCACAGGGTCACAGACCCAGGACAGACGCGACAGTACGTGGCAGATACTTTGAACTCTAGCAGTACTCATTAAACTGTCGCCCACTGTGGTATTGCTTTTCTTTAGTTCAGACATCAATCAATCTCAGCTAAAGCGAGCTTTTGTAATTAATCTGTTCCCTAAAACTACCCACCGTAAGGATCCCCAGAAACCGCCGCCGCAGCCCTGCCCAACTCACCAGATGCAAAAGCCACAGAGCCAACCCCAGTAAAGAGTCACCTTCACAGGGACCTTGGCCAGGAGCAGCAGCCTGCAGAAGTTAGGAGAGATGTTCCTGTGGGCCCACCTCCCACTTGCTGAATCTGAAACTCATCCGTGGATGGCCTCTTGTAGTCCTTTCCAGACTGACTGGCTGAAGTTCACAGAGAGCTTCCCAATCCCAAACAAGCAGGCATCAGATGAATTGAGTTGCGGTGAAACTATCACCTGCCTTAGTTACTCTATTACCGTAAAGCTGCCAGGACCAAAGCAGCTTACGAAGGACGGAGTTTATTGCAGCTTACAGTTTCAGAGGGTGAGTCTGTGGCCATCAGGATGTGGAGCATCGCGGCAGGCAGGCATGGCGCTGGGGCAGTGGTTGAGAGTTCACATCTGATCTACAAACGGGCAGAGAGGGAGAGAGTGTGCTAATGGGGAGGGGTGCTTTTGAAATCCCAAAGCCCACCCCAACTGACATGTGTCCTTCACTAAGGCCATACCCCTTAATCCTTCCCAAACAGTTCTACCAACCCAGGGCCGCTCTCATTCAAACCACCACAACCTTTAAGTTGGAAATAACCTCGTATCTTTCAAAAGATGGAAGGGGAAACAGACTTCCATCCTGTGGAATACCATCTAGCCCTGAAAGTGAACAGAGCTACTCTATTACAAACAAAACCGGGAAGTCCTGTTAACCTGTAGCTTGGGATTGATTATGTGTAAGTAAATCTTCAAGCAGGCGAAACCACAGGCTCTCCCCCCTGCAAATGAGAAAGCCGTTGTCTGGGTAGACACACGGGGAGGTAGTACCCTCAGAGAAGGATGCCCTGTGCAGGACCAGCCCCGGACTCAGGCATGCCCTCACCTCAGTGCGGGCCCTCATTTATCCCCTTGAGATCTTTTGGGCATCAGAATCCCAGAGTAAACTGGCAAGTGGACCATTCTCTCTGAGCCTTGGTGCCTCAGAGCAGGCTGGGTATGACTTTAGATTTCCATCTAAACTTGGTATTTCCAAAGTTGTCAATCATTCTTGCTCCTCCCATTCCTGTGGGTACAGTGCAGAAATCTGTTTCACAGCTGACATTTGGAATGGATTTACCATGGAAACCCTGTCATAAAAACGGGGTGGCTGGGTTGGAGCTCTTGCTGATAGGCTGTATGTAATGGTTCATTGGGGAAAATGTTGCGTTCTGAATATGCAGAGCAGAGCTCCCATGGAACTCAGGATGCTCACTTTTGCAAGGTAACTAGCGTGCTTAGAGATCAGGAGAGTGATGGTTTACATCCCAGTTACCCCACCCATGTGCATTGGTGTGAGGGTGTCAGATCCCTGGGACTGGAGTTACAGACGGTTGTGAGCTGCCATGTGGGTGCTGGGAATTGAACCCGGGTCCTGTGGAAAAGCAGTCAGTGCTCTTAACCGCTGAGCCATCTCGGCAGCCCCAGTGAGCAGCTCAGCTGGATGCTTAGGGGATCCCCTTGAGGGAAGCACAGCCACTGTGACGTGACACCGCCAACAGCAGCTGAGCAGATGTGGCCACAGCTGCTCTCATACGGAGACTTGCTCAACGCAGTAACGTTTTCTCTTTTTCAAACTGCTTAGCAACATCGCAGTGGAACTCACACTTGAAATGAGCCTTAGCTGCACACTCACCCACCAGGAAGCAATCTGACCGTACTAGCTACAGTTTGCAGCCCCTTCTTCTAATCTGTTAATCTCGCTCCAAAGTCACGTGTGTAGTCGGACGCAGAATGTGCACATGGGTCCCAGCCCTCTGAAGGCAGAGGCCAGGCTGAGCTACATAGCAAGAGCCTGCCTCAGAAAACCAACGCCAGGGGTCTAGAGATAGCTCAGAGGTTAAGAGCACTGGCTGCTCTTCCAGAGGACCCAGGTTCGATTCCCAGCACCCACCTAAGAGCTCACAACTGTCTATAACTCTGGTCCCAGAGAATCTGACACCCTCTCTGACCTCCTTGGGCATTGCACAGGCATGGTGTAGGCAAAGCACCCATATACATGTAGGCAAAGCACCCATATACATCAAAGTTTTTAAGTTAATTTTTTAAAAAAATGGGTCAGATGAAAGCTAGGGAGGTGCTGTGGGTAGAAGAGTAGCCCTGCCTACCATCCCGCGTGAAACCAGCAGGTACTAGTATCCGTTGCGTGTTCAGTTATCCTTATAGATTATATTTTTATACATGTGCATGGTGACTGAAGTAACTGCCTATTTATTTTTACTTTCTTAGCAGTGGAATCTGACATTTAGAGTGGCCAGGTGTGATAAAGATCAGAGCCCAAGAGATGGCGGAGGGGGTGGGGCTCTTGGAGCCGCCCATTCCTCCCACCTCTCTGTTGGGAAGCCTCTGGCCGTCCTCAGCCACTGCCAGCCTGGGTGGGATCGGCTTGTGCAGAGAACCCTCCCATGAGCATGAGCTTGAAACTTGCCATCTCCCAGCAGGTGCCAAACAGAAGGAGGCAGAGGCCGAATGACCCCCGTGAATGTAGACACCCTCACAGGAGAACTTGAACAAAGTCTCGGGGTCGCGGTTTGCCTCATGAACACTGGCTGCGATGGAAGAAAATAAAGTGGCTGAGAATGTATATCAGGGTTTGGCAATGGGTATTTTTCCAGTGATTTGTAAGCATAGGAAAAGATTTTATGTGCTTGAAGATTCAGGCTTACCTTCAAAGACTGTCCTCAGACCCCCCCGTCCGAGGGGTTTCCAATGCTGTATGTCATTAAAGTGCACTGTGTCTGAAATTAGTACTACTTTTCATTTCAAAGAAGTCACTGGGATGGAACGGGTGACCGGAAGGGAGCGAACGGCACGTCCAGATCACGGTGCCTTATGTCCAAACACGCAATATGTCACCGCCGCCACACGCCCCAAAGTGCTGCTGAAGAGACGGCCAGCCCGAATGTGAACATCCTCAAACCTTTTACCCAGTCTCTTTCTTTTCATTTGATTTGTTGGAAAGTTGTAATTTTAACGAAGGCAACGGAAAACTTGAGGAGATGGTCCCCTAAGTGCTGTGTGCCCTGTTCTGGCTGCCGTGTTGACGAGGCTGGTTGGGCAACAACACTTTATTTATTTTCACTCTCATGCAGTTTTTTACACATCTGGTGAATGGGTTCACCAAACCTATGAATAAAATCTTGGTTGTTCTCTTAAATGGCAAATTTCTCATGATTTTAGTTTGGATCCGGAAAGGCTACGCCTTCCAAAACAGCCACTGTTGGGTTTTTTAAAATGTTTATGGAAGCGGGCCGTGGTCACAAGGATGAAGTGCCGGGAGACGTCTGTTTTTTGTTTTTTTTTAATTGTGTGTTAAAATGTAAACTCATGATGTTTGTGTGACCGCAGACAAGACTCTTGTAACTTTTATTGTGACACATAAAACAGTATTGTCATGCAATTGAAGGGAACAATATTCCCTTGTATCAGTGCTCTGAAAATGTTGACTGTGTGTGTGTGTGTGTGTGTGTGTGTGTGTGTGTGTGTGTGTGTGTGTGCGCGCGCATGCGCGCGTGCAGAGTTTGGGGTCTTGTTTTTTGGGCTTTTTTTTTCCAGATTGAAAATTAAAATAAATCCTACCTACCAGTTTGCTAACGTTCTTTAAAATACCATATATTTGGGTATGTTCCAATTAAGATTCTACATGGAGAATATAGAGAATTCTACATTTCTTCTCAAATAAGAAAAGTACATGAATTGTCATCTCTTTTACCCATCTCCAGAAAAGAACTTGAAAAGATTTATGAACCCCATTATTAAATACAAACATTTGAGTTTGTTTTTGAGACAGGATTTCTCTGTATAGCTCTGGCTGTCCTTGAACTCAGTAAATCAGGCTGGCCACGAACTCAGAGATCCACCTGCCTTTGCCTCCTGAGTGCTAGGATTAAAGACGCACCACCACACCCAGCTTAAATATGAACATATTTTTAATTAGGAATTGTCACACCAGGAGCTGGAGAGATGGCTCAGGTTAAGAACACTGACTGTTCTTGCAGAGGACCTGAGTTCAATTCCCAAGACAAACGTGGTGGTTCACAACCATCTCTAACTCCCACTTCCAGGGATCCGACACTCTTGTGACCTCTGTGATTATTGCATGCCTGTGGTGCACTTACATGTAGACCAAACACTCATAAAAATAAATCTCCTTTAAAAAGGGATTTGTCACATAAGCCAGGGATGGCAGCATTCTGCTGTTGCAGCACACGGAGTAAAACCAGAGACCGTTCCTGCACTCAGTTCAAGGCCAGCCTGGACTGCAAAACAAGACCGTGTCTTAGAAACAACAGATTGTGTGTGTGTGTATATATGTGTGCACTGAGGTATCAGTTTATTTCCTAGTGAGCAAAATAAATGGCATGCACACATGTAGCCTCCCTGGAAACAGTGGTGGCTTAACACTTGAAGGAAAGTGACCAAACATCACAAAGCTGCTAGAACAGTCCTAAAACTCAGTCCCTCCCTGGATAGGTCTGTCATATAGTCACTCCATTCATTCATTTGGTGCCTGGCCCTGGGCCCACCTGGTTGTAGAGCCCTGGGCCTGGCCCAGTCAGCAAACAAGGACACTGGGTGTGGGCATCTGAGGGACACCACCCTACATCACTCTTCCTACAGTGCTCTCACAGAGAATACAATAACCCACATTTGTCCCTCCTTGCCACTATCAAGATTCACCTGACCCTCTCCAGTAAGACATCACAAAACACCAATTCCAGCCATCTGTTACCTTCCCAGTTTGGGGGCCTCCCCCCTACCCCTGCAATCATTCTGTGTGCCGAGACCCACCCCAGGGGAGTAAGTGCACACAGGCATCCGGCCTTCCCCGACCAGAGGCAGAGCCCCTCATGCCCGGTACATCTGCTCTGATACGACTTGAAAGTGACCTTGGAATAAATACTCTAGAATAAACACTCCTTTTCTGAACACACACTCACATGTAGCCTAGACGGGCTGGTTCATAGATCGTTTGCTGGAAGTGTTCACCTAAACCTCCAGCTTCTGTTGCCCTGGATATTGCCAGGCTATGCTGCCACCCCTGAGGTTGGCACAGTACTGCTCCTTCCCCGAGACCCAGCCCTGGACTCAGCTTGGCATCATCTGGCAACACAGGGCCAAAGGCAACTTGGTAAGAGCGCTTCCTTTCCTCCCAGCCCCCCTGTGCTGGGGCCCTCAGGCCCCCACTGCACTTGACACTTCTGCTTAGGACTCAGCCCCGGAGCTGCCCCTGCAACAGCATGTGAGAAGGGGTTCCAGAAGTATTGCAGCCAGCAGAAAAGGGAGGGAGTGAGGCCCTCCTGGCCTCAGACCTTGGCTAGCTAACAGCTCTGTGAGTCTCACCTGCGGGCCATTCACAGGGTCCCCTTTTCTCTTCCGTTGTTTGAGACAGGCTCTTGGATAGCTCAGGCTGACCTATAAAACTTGTTACCTGGCCAATGATAACTCTGAACTCCTGATCCTTCCGTCTGTAACTCCTGAATGCTGGGATAAGAGACGTGTGCCCCCACACCCGATTGGTGCAGTGCTAAGGACTGAACCCAGAGCTCTGTGTGCTAGGCAAGCACTCTGCTACCACATGCCAGCCCCTCTTTTTTTCCTTTTTTTTTCAGTGCTGGAGTTAAGCCCAAGGCTTCACACACACTAGGCAGCCCCTCTCCCACCAAGCTACACCCCACCTCTGTATGAAGTCTCACATGCCATCTTTATTGTACAGCACGGTAATGATTCGGTTGAGTTCACGGCATCCTGTCCTAAATGGCTGTAATGGCTTGAACTGTCTTCCCCAAACACTCTCTGATATCCTTGTTTGTGCCTGACTTACCTGGCAACCTTGGCCTGATTTAGAAACTGGGTCTTTGTGGAGGAATCAAGTTAAGATGAGGTCATTGTGTTGGCACTAATCCAACAGAACTGGTGTCCTTATTGTAAGAGGGAAATCTGGAAACTGACACACAGGGAGAAGGCCGTGTGATGACGTCAGCAGAAAACAGTGACGCAGCCATGTGCCAAGGAAAGTCAGACCCTTGGCAGTGCCAGAAGCTTGGAAGGCAGAGTGGGCCCTCCCCGGAGTCTGCAGACGCTGGGTTCAGACTGCAGTCTCTCACCCAGCTTGGGGCACAGCATTACAGCAGCCCAGGAGGCTGATACAGAGGTCGCCGCCGCTCAAAACCTGCTTAGCTGTTTTTCTGCAAAGTTGACGTGCATGCTCACCTTTTTGGGGGGAGGGGGACGGGAAGGGCAGTAAATAAAATCAAAACGCAAAAAAAAATTTTTTGGTTGTTTTGTGACAGAGTTTCTCTGTGTAGCTTTGGAGCCTTTTCTGGAACTCACTCTGTAGCCCAGGCTGGCCTCAAACTCACAGAGATCCTCCTTCCTCCGCCTCCTGAGTGCTGGGATTAAAGGCGTGCGCCGCCGCCGCCGCCGCCGCCGCCGCCGCCGCCACCACCACCACCACTGCCCGGCAAAACCCAAATCTTAGTAATAGAGAAACAATCTATGAGTCAGCAAAAGGCGGCGCCTGGTCCCGGCATAGCCGCTGACGAGTCCCTCTTCCACCACGGGGAGCCATCATTCCCTGGGAGTGCGCACTATACTGGGTCCCTGCAGGGGACACAATATTCCACGTGGAGAGTAGAAGTCCAGTATCACTTGAGTTTATACATCCTAAATTCTTTATCAAGAAAGCAAGCCAATCCCATCTTCAGGCAAGAACAAAAAGGATGTTTCTGCAGGGATGCTAGGGGCTCTTGTTTCCTCAAAACCTCTTGCTGCTTCCGGGCTGGCCTCAGAAGGTCACAGACGTAGTCCACACCCAACACTCTGGCAGATTATTCCGCTGGCTTCAGTTTCCAGGTCTGACCAATAGGGTTAATGGTGCCTCCTCCCCAGGGGCAGTAGGAAGTGGACACGAAACCCGGTAAACAGAAAGTCCCGCGGTGGAGAAGAGAAGAGATGCCCCCGGAATCCCATCCCCACCCGGGCTTACTGCCAGGAGGGCAGGTGCTACAGCGGCCATTCATGGTTTTTCCTACGGCGGAGTCCTCATTCATGGAGAGGGAGGAAGACCTCACTCAGGTCAAACATGGTCAAATCTGTCATGTATTATGAGCCAGAAAATAAAAATCAAGCTTGAGCCCGGGGGATGGTGGTGCATGCCTTCTTTAATCCCAGCACTCGGGAGGCAGAGGCAGGCAGATCTCTGTGAGTTCGAGGCCAGCCTGGTCTACAGAGTGAGTTCCAAGACAGGCTCCAAAGCTACACAGAGAAACCCTGTCTCGAACCTCCCCACCTCCCCCCCAAAAAAATCAAGCTTGGATCTGCTCAAGCCACTAGACATAACTCTAGAAAATGCAGAAAGAGGAGCCCAATCAATGAGAGGATGTGCTGGTTAATTTTATGTCTACTTGAAACAAGCTAGAAAAGAAAGAGGGAAAGAAAGAAAGGAGCCTCGACTGAAAAAATGCCTCCATAAGATCTGGTTGTAAGGCATTTTCTCACTTAGTGATCCATGGTGGAAGACCCAAGCCATGGTGGTGGTGGTGGGGGGCACCCCTGGGCTGAGTTCTATAAGAAAGCAGGCTGAGCAAGCCAGGGGGAGCAAGCCAGTGAGCAGCACCCTTCCACGGCCTCTGCATCAGCCCCTGCCTCCAGGATCCTGCCCTGTTTGAGTCCTGCCCTGACTTCCTTCAGTGATGAACAGTGCTGTGGAAGTGTGAGCCAAATCAACCCTTTCCTCCCCAGCCTGCTTTCTGTCGTGGTGTTACATCACAGCAATCGTAACCCTAAGACAGAGGGCTATGAGCCAACCCCCACACAATCCATACTCCTCGACAAAGTAAAAGACAACCAAAAAGGGGAGAGACATGATGAGACTCCATTAGTCAAATTCAATACGGGACCCTTAAAATGATTTGATAATTCCGAGATGCTGACATTAAGGAAATATGTAGAGGGTTTTCATAATCCTGATAGGATGGATATGGTTTGGTTCAAAAAAGAAAGTGTTCATCCACTAGAGCTGTGCACACTAGCCCCCAACTTGTGAACTTTTTCTTTGCTTTTTACTTTTTGGTGGTACAGAAACTCCATTGTTCAGCAGGCAAAGGTACCTGCTGCCGTCTGACGACCTCAGTTTTGATTCCCAGGCCCCACATG